ATGGTAATACAAAAGGTTTCTCTCAAGCAATTTAAGCAGCAGAAGTTGAGATGATATGCTCTAGGAAAAAATATTTGTGCTCTAAGTAGCCTATAAGATGACAAAGACACTAACATTGAACATTTCTGAGGAGAGTGAATAAAATTACTTTATGAATATTGCCGGGTGGTGGTGGCACACAACTTTAATCCTAGCATTCGGGAGGCAGAGCCAGGCGGATCTCTGTGAGTTCGAGGCCAGCATGGTCCACAGAGCGAGATCCAGGAAAGGTGCAAAGCTACACAGAGAAACCCTGTCTCGAAAAACAAACAAACAAAAAAAAAAGAATATAATAGGCAAAAGTAACATTCATAAATTATTTTCTCTCTCTTTTAAAAATGCATATGTAAATGTTTAACCAAGTTAGTAAAGAAAATTAGGCACTCAACTATTCCACACACATATTCATCAAGGTTAGTAATATTCAAGCTGACTAAAACAGAAAAGAGTCATAAATGAATGCTAAGTCAAAGAAAACAATTTAATGAGTAGCAGTGTTTGGGAGTTTGGGGGGGTTGGCTTTTTTGGGGAGTTTTTTGTGGTTTTTTGTTTGTTTGTTGGTTGGTTGGTTGGTTTGGTTTGGTTTGGTTTGGGGGTTGTTTTGTTTTGAAGTCTTAAAATGTCCCTTTGCTGCAGACTGCTACAAGTTAGAAGTGAGGAAAAGTAAGGGAAGAAATCAGACATCTTGACTGGAATCAAAATTCCCATGACCAGAGAAGAATAGCTCACTATCAAGTATCTCCACACACAGTACTTTGAGAAGCACACAGTACCACTCATATACAGTCTGATTCTGATCACAAGGAAGTATTAGGCAAACCCAAAAGAAACAATGTTATATTAAGAGGGAAGCTCAAGTATGAAGGCTCAGGGATAGAAGTGTTTGCCACCAACTGCCCTGAGTTCAATCCCTGGGTGCCACATGTGGAAGAGAAGAACCAAGTCAAGCTGACACACACACGCTATCGCACGCTCAAGTGCACAAATATACATGTGTGTGAGTGCACACATGCAAAGACACACACAATAAACAAATAAATTTAATACTAAAATATTTTAATTTTAAAAAACGAGGGGAGCCTGGAATATATCTCAGTAGCAAAATACTTGCTTAGCACACATGGAGCCCTGGGTTCAACTCCCAGCACCAAATAGGTAAAGAAGCCAGAATTGCTGGCATGTGCCTATAATACCAAATTGGAAAGATTACAGGCATAGAATCAGGAGTTTAAGGTCATCTGATACATAGTAAGTTCAAGACCAGCTTTGATTAAAGAGACCCAGCCTCAAAAAGGGGATGAGGGAGTAAATGAATATATTCTTCAGTTATTTCACATGTTAAAGATAGTGAAAGACTGTGTAAATGACCCAGATTAAAGAAAGTTCAAGATATATGGCAACTCAATGCAACATCTGACCCTAGAATTAATCCAAAACTGGAAAACAGGATGCTACTGTGTTATTTGGCAAAATTAAACAACACATGGTAGATGATATAAGAAGTACTGTATGAATGCTAACTTCATAGAAGCTGACAAGCATACTTGGATTATGTATGTAACAGATACCTGTATTCTTAAGAAATGCACTATTAAATATTTAGGGATATGAAGCCATATTATATATAACTTAGTCCAAGTTTGTCAGAAAAACAATTTGTTCCCTGTGCTTGCACAAGTGTGTGTGTGTGTGTGTGTGTGTGTGTGTGTGTGTGTGTGTGTACACATGGGTACATGGGAAGAATTAAGTAAGAGAAGAGAGGGAAAAGAAAGGAGGTAAAAGGCAAATGGTTTTCTACCAATATGTAAATCTGACTACAAAGTTTAAATGTTCTCTGCAGGTACTTTCTTTTTTATTATTCTCTAAGTTTGAACTTACTTTCAAATGAAAAAATTAAAACACTGCTGCATCTAATAATGCTAATCCAAAATTTTTAATTAAAGGCTGTTACATATAAATTCATATCATATTCTTTTAGGGTTGTAATGTTAAATATTAAAGTACTTTTTCTCTTCAGCTATTTTTCATCAATTTTAAGACTCAATGCTATTTTTTTATTTTTTTATTTTTTATTTTTTTTTATTTTTTTTTTTATTTATTTATTTTTTTTGGTTTTTCGAGACAGGGTTTCTCTGTGCAGTTTTGCGCCATTCCTGGAACTCGCTTTGGAGACCAGGCTGGCCTCGAACTCACAGAGATCCGCCTGGCTCTGCCTCGGGAGTGCTGGGACTAAAGGCGCCTGGCTTCATTGCTATTTTTTAATACCACAACCAAAGGGTGATAAATATAAAATGCTACCAACTGTAAAACACACACAATATCAAATATGTTAAATATGAAACCATATGCATTAAAATTGATGAAACACATTTTTATAGCTGGCCAAACTATCTAAACAATTAAAAAACATACAAATCCATGTATCAAAATGAGAAATAGACATTTTTCTGTTACCTGAAATTAGTGATAGGCTACAAAGATGGGAATAAAATGGAGCTAAGTCCCTTCGAGAGAAAGCCGTAAATAACTCTGGCCAGACACCTTTTCTAAGATTTAGAACAGAGGTGGTTAAAGTGCCAAAAGCCAGCACCTCAACTGCTCTCTACCCTCATCCCAGTGTAGAGAATGAGAAGGGGAAACTGAGGGAGTGGTCCTAGTATAGTCTTGATGAACATAATTTTCCTTCTCCTGATCATCTCTGATTTCCCACTCTTTGAGACCACATTAGAACTTTCAAGTTTTGCCACTGCAAACAATTTTATTAATAATCATGTTTTAATTATATATCTTTGGTGCTGGAGAGATCACTCAGCAGTTAAGAGTACTTATTGCTCTTAAAGAGGACCTGGATTCAGGTCCCAGGACTTATGTAGTGTCTCACAACCTCTTTAACTAAAGCTCCAGATCTGATGCTTTCTTTTGACTTCTTTGGATACTGCCATATATGGTGCAAGGACATAAAGGCAGGCACAACACTTGTATGAGTAAAAAATGTTTAATGTATATTAATATCATTAATATATACAGTAACATATATCCATATCCTTGGGACTGGGGAGATAGCTTAGTCAGTAAAGTGCTTATAGCACATATGTATAAGACCTGAGTTTGAGCCCCAAAACCATGGTTAAAAAATAAATGAGGAGGGGAGCTAGAGAGATAGCTCAGTGGTTAAGAGTATCAGCTGCTCTTCCAGAGGACCTGGGTTTAAATCCCAGCACCCACATGGCAGCTCACAACTGTCTGTAGCTTCAGTTCCAGAGGATCAAACACCCACTTGCATGTATATAAATATACATGCAAGCTAAACACTAATGCATATGGAATAAAAATAAATCATTTAAAATTTTTTTAAAAAACAGAAAGTATGGAACTGGGCAGTGATGGTACATGCCTTTAATCCCAGCACTCAGGAGATAGAGCCAGGAGGATCTCTGTGAGTTCAAGGCCAGCCTGGTCTACAGAGCAAGATCCAGGACAGGCACCAAAATGACACAGAGAAACCCTGTCTTGAAAAAAAAAAAAAAAAGTGTGGTAATGTCTACCAGTAATACGAAGCCTGGGGAGACAGAGAGAGGCAGATCCTTAGGGCTCACTGGTCAGCTATCCTAACCTAACCAACAGCCCGGGCCAACGAGAGACCCTGTCTCAAAGACAAAGGTAAACAGCACCTGAGTAGGAACAACATCTGAGACTGTGAACTACACACACACACACACACACACACACACATTAAACAAATATATATCCGTGGACAGTGGTACTCAATACTATAATTTCCCTGAGAATGAAACTCCTATATGTAACTATAGGTCTTTTTTATCACTGTATTACCAGATTGGTTTGGTTTTTAGTTTTTTTGCTTTTGTTTCATTGTAGGGTTTTGGGGGTGTTTGTTTTGCTTTGTTGTGTTTTGTTTGGTTGGTTGGTTTTTTTTTTTTGTTTTTTCGGGGTTTTTTTTGTTTTGTTTTTTTGTTTTTTCTTTTTCAAAACAGGGTTTCTCTGTGTACCCTTGGCTGTCCTGGAACTCAGTCTGTATACCAGGCTGGCCTTAAACTTGGTGATCCACCTGCCTATGCCTCCCAAGTGCTGGGATTAAAGGAGTATGCCACCACTGCCTGGCTTGGTTTGGTTTTTTGAGTGTATACAACGCCTGATAATCCCATTAACAATATAAGAATATTTTTATCTCCTATCCTCACCTTTACTTCATACTGTAATTGAATATCACATGGATCCTTTAATTTGCATCTTATATATTTGTAAATTGAGATTTTAGATGTTTGCTAACCATTTGAATAATTTTCCAGCAATTTCTCTATTTGTAATCTTGTCCATTTTTTTGTGTTATCTGTCAACCACTAAAACTATATTACATAATAATTGCCATCTAAAATGAAATTTTGGGGGCTGGAGAGATGACTCAGAGATTAAGAGCACCGACTGTTCTTCCAGAGATCCTGAGTTCAATTCCCAGCAACCACATGGTGGCTCACAACCATCTACGAAATCTGGCGCCCTTTTCTGTGTACATAATAAAATGAAATTTTTGGGAGAAATGATTATGTTAGTGACTTTATATACAATTTTTTGGCCCTCTAAAACATTTATTTACTTAAAAGCATTCCTATGAATGGATACATACACATTTTTCCATTAAGTTACTGGAATTTCAAAAGCTTTAAAATATAGAAAATAAAAATAACTGATTTTCCCTCAATGTAAGTAAGTGTTAACAAAATGAAAAGGATATGAACAAAATGGGTTTAAAGAGTAAGAGGGGTTACTTAGGGAAGTAGAAGGTAAGAAGGAGGGTGAGGTGGGAGGGGCAGGATGGTTAGAAATAAGATACATTTAAAAGCCACAGTGAGCAGTACAGCTGAGATTCAATACCAGGCATCTGAAACACATTAACAATGGCAATCCCAGTCTGAGCTAGGACATAAGAACAAGCTGCTTACCTCTCAATAGCTAATTCTTTGTTAGAAAGTTGCTGAACTGTAATCACAACCTTCTTCTCTATTCCTTGCTTTATTTTGAAATAAAATTTATCTCTATCCTTAGGCACAGGACTGAAATATTCAAAAAGAAAAAAATTAGCAATATAATAGTAGAACAAAATAAGATAATACATTCTAAAATGAAAACAAAACAACAAAGTATTATGGCAAGAACACTATATATTTTTTGTTGGTTTATTTGTTTGTATCTCCAGACAGGGTTTCTCTGTATAGCCCTGGCTGTCCTGAAACTCACTGTATAAACCAGACTGGCCCTGAACTCAGAATTATGCCTGCCTCTACAACACAAATGCTGGGATTACAAGTGTGTGCCATCATCACCCAGCAAGAATACTATATTCTTAAGTCATGCTGAATCTCTTCACTATAAGCAGAAAACAGTAAATTTCATAACTAGTAATATAAAACTTCTAGAAAGTTTGAAAATGGATTACAACAGCCTTATATTTTTATCTTTCAATCAGGGTTAAATGTAGTATCTAAAACTATGACAACACAGTATCATTTCAAATTTAGATTTTAAATTATAACAAATTTTCAAATACTGCTTATTTAATTTTTAAAGATTGTCACATTCTGGTTCAGCTGCTGGATGGTCATGAGCACCTGTACCATAATTAAACCAAGAAAATACCAGTAAGGAATACCTTACTCTTCTAAACATCAAGAATTTAAGACTACTCTTACATATCTAAGTAAATATTAGTAAAAGATGGACAAAAAGATACAGATCATACATAGCAAGTTAATAAAAGTCTAACAAAAGATAAAGTAGATATTCTCATGATGAACAAATAAAACTTAAAATACAGGTTCTCTTCTCAGAAAAAGAAAAATACTTCCAGCAACTTATTCAATCTGACATTCACTTTTTTACTGGCAAAAATACAAATAACTATCTAGAAATTATTGTTATAAATAAAGACACTAAAGGCGGAGTGTGATAGTCTTTCTCTTTAATCACAGCACTTAAAAGGCAGGGCCAGGCTGATCTCTACGAGTTTGAGTTCAAGGCCAGCCAAGGGCTATAGAGTGAGACACTGTCTCAAAAAATAAAAAAATAAGTGGAGCGGTGGTGGCACACGCCTTTAATCCCAGCACTCAAGAGGCAGAGCCAGGCGGATCTCTGTGCATTCAAGGCCAGCCTGGTCTGATCCAGGACAGGCACCAAAAACTACACAGAGAAACCCTGTCTCGAAAAACTAAATTAAAAAAAAAAAAAGGTTAAAAAATAAAAAATTAAATACACTGTTAAGGTATATAGGTGGTTGTTAAATAGAATAGCCACTTCCTATTAACTGCTCATTTTTGAACTGGAAAGAAACATTTTAATGTATAATAGAAGGAAGTGGTTAAATGATGGCCAAACCATGTGGTATGCTAACAGCAACCACTAAAACTAATTTTGGTGAAAAATATTTCAATAAAAGGATAGAGGGTTGGATAAGCAGTTAAGAGCACTTGTTGCTCTTGCAGAGGACCCAGGTTCAACTCTGACATGACAGCTCACAACCATCTGTAACTCAAGTCCCACAGAATCCAATGCCTTCTCCTTACCTCCAGGCACCAGGCATGTACATTTTACAAACATACACAAAAGCAAAGTAATGATACACATAAAATAAATACATTTTTAAAGATTTAATTTAAAAAAATAATTTAATGAAAATTATTTTGAAGGAGAAAAAATTATTTTGAAGTATATAAATAGCTGTAAATTTTTCCCTAAAAATACAACAAAGGCAAAAAATTAACTAGCTGGAGGTGGGGAGTGACATATATAATCCCAGGACTCAGGGGTAGACTCAGGAAAATCAGGAATTCAAAACCAGCTTCAGCTACATAGAGAGTTCAAGTCCAGTCCATGCTACAATGAGACCTCATCTCAAAAAAAATTAATAAATAAATCAAAACAAATAAGTAAATGGAGAATAAATTAACACTTTTTTTTTAAAAAAAAAAAAGTGATGCTCCATGGCTCACAAAATTACAGCCTGTGCCCTGTTTTTATATTAATAATTCTATAGCATCGGATTCTTTTAATCACTAAGAAAAATGTTTGACTATCTGAGAAGTGTGAGAATATTGAACTGTAATTATTCACAATGCAAATGTTTCTTGACCTATCTAAAGCTTTATACAAACAGGATCTAGTGTCTAGAAAGCATGTTAGCAAATACTGTATTCCAGGCACAATGCTAACTTTCTTTTCAGATTATTCTTCTCAGATAGTCTCACCTAAAGTTTCCTTTTCCATCATCTTCTTTGACCTCCAAGGAGACACTAAAGGTAAACACATCACTGTCCGGGGTTGGGATGATTGAATCTTTAACATCAGCCACTTGTCTGGAAGAACGTTTGAATGCAGTACAGAAACTATATAAAATTCTGCTTACCTAAAAAGTGAAAATGGAAATGTAATTAGACCAAAGCACTAAATGAACCATGATATCCTTCTCACCCATTTTGCAAGTCTAACTTTCCATACCCACAGTTTTCTTTAGTACAGAAAGTAAATATAGTGTAAGAATCTATCAACCATTTGAACAGTATATAAAAACATTTTCATCAATTATGCATTAAAAAGTGGCAGGTAAATAACCATATATAGTAAGTGCAGATCATCCTAATTCTAAATTATTATATATGAAGACCATCATTAGCAAGAAATCCAAGAAAAAAATATTGCCAGAGTATCCCTCAAAAAGCACACTAATTCCAGAGAATGTTTAAGAACATGAAGTCAACAGTAATGCATCACTTCACAAACTTAAGTTCAAGTATGATGAGTATTTTTACACCTACACAGTTAAGATTCATAGTAAACACTGTCAATATAAAAAGAGACGAGAGGGGAACTAGTATTAAAGAGCTGCAGCTAGAAACTGAGATCTGAGAATGAAGACCAGCAGCAGGTTCAGGTCCACTCAAGAATGACAGTGAGTCGGCACTGTTAACTATGATTCATAACCTCTCTCACTAACAAGATGCACAAAATACATAACCAGAAAAAAAAAATACCTTGAGAACCAAAAAGCATTTCATTATTAGGGAATATTTTCTTTGAAAAGGTTTTCCCAGTTGATATCTAATTAAGACAATGGAACATTCCCTTCAAAGAAACTGCTTAACTGTACTACACATACCATTTGTGGGGGGGGGGGATGTATCACATTATTTTATTATCAAAGCAACTTCTCCCCAATATGAACAACAGGGATCTTTTGGGTGCCAGATACATGAAAGATTGTTCTGTCAGGGGAAACAGATATTATTTGCTATCATCAATCAATACAAATCTCTTATATATACAGCTTCGGATACAATGAGTTTGTTGACCAACTCAGTTTATACATACTACTCCACTTAATAGTTTGAATAACCTTACAAAACAAGCCAACAGGTATTTGCAATTCTTTCTGCAAACAAGTAAAGTGACTGGGTAGAGTCTAGAGTGCTGATCTGAGGACCTTTAAAGGAAGTTGCATTGTTTTGATTAGTTCTCTGTTATCAATGACTTGTTTTCACAGAGTAGTAAAGAAGAGACTCAGGCTCAACGAATTAATGCCTATGTGAGTACCTAGACTACATAAATATGCCCAAATGTAGTCTACTAGTATTGTAGAAACAATACTAGCCTCACTAAGAAAGAATTATTAACTTAATAGACGTCTTTCAAATATTCTTGCTGTTTCTTTAAACTCTGATATTTAAAAAGTTAATAAACATGAACTTTTAAAACAAAAATCCAGGATGGTCCAGTGATTAAGAGCACTTGCTCTTGCAGAGAACTCAAATTTCATTCCCAGATTACATCTGTCTATAATCCCAGTTCCAGGGGATCCAAGACCTCATCTGACATCTGCAGGCTCCTGCATGCATATAGTGCACAGATGCACATACATTGGGTTTCTGAGACAGGGTTTCTCTGCATAGGCTGGCTGTCCTAGAACTCACTCTGTAGACCAAGCTAGCTTTGAACTCACAGAGTTCTGCCTGCCTTACCTGCCTCTGCCTCCCAAAGTACTGGGGTTAAAGACGTGTGCCACCACTGCCCAACTTAAATTAGTATTTTTTTAAAGCCAGGTTGATCACACCTGTACTCCCAGCATTAGAAGGGCTGAAACAGAAGGACTATCACTAGTT